TGGCTATAACTCTGAACGAAAGGCCTATGGGCCCTTATCTTTTTGGGGTTTTTCATATCTTACTGGGATCTACCTTATGCACAGAGTTCGAACTCAAAACCGATTAATCACTTCGGGTACCTCCCTCGTAAGTTTCTTTAGAAATTCTGGCTCATACTATATTCGATAGAGATTTTCAAGGGCTTTCCAAATCACTATTTAGATTTTACCTAGCTGTCAGTTTTTGTGGAAAAACTTCAAAAATAAAAGGGGGTCTTATAATTTTGGTACACCCTATATATACTGTTTTTTGTTTGAAAGAGCATCTCAGGATGCAGGGCCTATGAGCGTCCTTTTTTTAAAATTTTTATCTATCAAGCGGAGAAAAGGGTTGACAAGTTCATTCACTCGTAAAACTCTTAAAAAATGGCGCTCTATTTATAAAAGTGCTTTTCAATATAATAATACCATTGTGTCATTCAAAAAACGAAGTCTTGTAGCACCTGCAGTTATTGACGCTCTTTCAAACAAAAAAAATATCTGACTTTATATAGTACTATGGTTGAGTTTTCTTGTAAATACGTTGTCAAACCTACATTCTGAGAAAAACGCGAGACAAGGTTTTGAAATGTCAGGTATCCGGAAAAATGTTATATTTTGTGAATATATCTGCACAGACAAATGATAAAGCCTTTCTTTTGTTTTCAGAACACCTACCCTGAAAAGCTTTACAAAACCTGTAGGAACAAATTTCTCTTGACTTGTTCTGAGAGTCTCTTCCATACTCAACATTTATCTAAAATGTCTTTTTTTTGATGAAATTTAAAGTTTTTGAGAGGGTGGGCTTAACGAAAATCATCGAAAATTTTCGCCAAAAACGAGATATCGAAGAAAAAACAACGCCGTTTCTGAAAGAGCAGAAGACGGGCTATCTCTCCATGCATTTATCTCAATTTCGAATTTTAGACAAAAATTAACGTTTTTTGAGGGGGGGGGTGGCCTTAAGTCGAAGTTTTGCGGCTCTTCCCCCTCTCCCTCCATTTCAGACTTGCCCCATCGCGGGCGATTCCCCAATACAGACAACTCCCAATTAAACACTTCAGCAATCGAGAATACAGGCGTCAGACTTTGTCGTACTTTTTACGAAATTGATCAAGTTATAGTTTTGAAAGATAATCAACATCATTGTTTCTGAGTTCCTGAATATATATAAAGAGTGAATAGAAAAAATGCAAAATAAAAATAGGACGCTCGTAGAAAAAGAAAATTCCTGTTCGGAATGCAGCAATTAAAAACGTTTTAACTCTGATGTTTGATTAGGCAACAAAACAACTATCGTGTACAAGAGATTTTTCACTTCATGTATTTTGTATTAGTCTAATGAGGCTAGAGAACATATGTGACTTCCACATTTCAGCTCCAAAGGGGCTGTGCTAATAATCTTTGTTTCCCCTTGTCAATAACTATTCATTGAAAAATCATGGACATCAATCCTATAGCAGATTCAGAAGCCTCGCAAGCTTTAATAGTCTTATCCACAAGACGTCGAAGCCCTATGTATAGTGAAGTACATCCTCGTTACTCACTTCGAACTGCACTCATCTTAATTCCGACTATCACAATTCTTGCTTCGACCATTCTTACAATCATTACATATCCACGCACATCCATATATTTAGTGCTGAGCTGTTCTGACAATATACAAAATGGACTAGAAGCAGGCGTCGATTGTGGTGGGTATTGCCCTCTCAAATGTGACCATCAGTCTTGCGCATTGGACACTGACTGCAAAAGTAGTGTTTGTTCGTGGCAAAAATGTCAAGGTAGGCAACTAGAAAAAATTGTGTATCTTATATCCAATAGAGATTCTAGCGGCTACTTGCAAAGATCGTGTTCGAAACGGTGGAGAAATCGGCATTGACTGTGATGGTCCCTGCGTGAAACGATGCAATGGTCGAGCTTGTGGATCAGCTGATCATTGTTGGAGTGGCGTCTGTGGAACTAATAAAACTTGCTCAGGTAGATGATTCGAGTGAGGAATTTCTGGATCTAGACTCTTACCTTTAGTACCCACATGTTCTGACAACATACAAAATGGACTCGAAGAAGGCGTCGATTGTGGTGGGTCTTGTCCTCTAAAGTGTGACTATCAGTCCTGCGCATTGGACATTGACTGCAAAAGTAGTGTTTGTTGGCGGCAAACATGTCGAGGTAGGCAACTAGAAAAAATTGTGCCTCTTATAGCCAATGGAGATTCTAGCGGCTGCTTGCAACGATCTTGTTCGAAACGGTGGAGAAATCGGCATTGACTGTGATGGTTCCTGCGTGAAACGATGTAATGGTCGAGCTTGCAGTTCACCTAATGATTGCTGGAGTGGTGTCTGTGGAACTAATCAAACTTGCTCAGGTAGATGATTCGAGTGAGGAACTTCTGAATCTAGACTCTTACCTTTAGTACCCACGTGTTCTGACAACGTACAAAATGGACTCGAAGAAGGCGTCGATTGTGGTGGGTCTTGTCCTCTAAAGTGTGGCTATCAGTCCTGCGCATTGGACATTGACTGCAAAAGTAGTGTTTGTTCGTGGCAAAAATGTCAAGGTAGGCAACTAGAGAAAATTGTGCCTCTTATAGCCAATGGAGATTCTAGCGGCTGCTTGCAAAGATCGTGTTCGAAACGGTGGAGAAATCGGCATTGACTGTGATGGTCCCTGTGTGAAACGATGTAATGGTCGAGCTTGTAGTTCACCTAATGATTGCTGGAGTGGTGTCTGTGGACCTAATCAAACTTGCTCAGGTAAATGATTTTAATGAGAGATTTCTGAATGTTGATCAGTGAAGTGTTCGAAACTATTACAGTTATAAGTGATTTGAACATAGAATCCTAAATTTATTTAGGCTATAATCTGTCATGCAATTATAATTATCCCTATGAGTTATAACTATCCGAGTGAATTATTACTCGTATAGCTGTGCATCATATACAAGGCGAAAAATAAGTAGCTGTGAGTTCTCAAGAGACTTGACAAAATTATGACATATACAATGAAAACTGCTTTCTTCATACAGCTACCATTTGATTAGCTTGATGTTGCCTATAGAATACCACCTTCAATTCGATATTTCACTGATTCATGATTCGCTCCTGCTTCTATTTATAATTACTTTCATTGTCAATTCTGTCATATACTGTTTTCAATTACGGTAGCAGAATGGACATGTTTAATATTATTCCTCACGCGTTTTATCTATTTCCTATGTGATCGATTTCTGTAATATTTCCTTTTCTGTGTTGTTGATTCCTAGTCCTTATCTGTCAATAATTCATATTGAGCTGCGAATATAATGATGACGATTTTTCAAGACATATTATCTATATCAGATTAGACTGAGCGGACGTATCAACTTTTTGATACTCTGCCCAACGAATAGGAAAGATATACTTCCATCTTTTCATATTGTTTTCTATCACGATCATATCCGAATCATGATGTTGAACTCACTATCTAAGAACAAAAAGCAAACGACACAAAATCTCAAAAAATATACATAGGACGTGCTTCATGATACCATGACATCGTCAACGAGCTGATCAGCACCGTAGTCCTAATCGATCGCTGGATGTTGTCGTTTCTTTTCACTTAATTCGTTGACATCATTACATATGTCCAACTATTCTTCAAGACCAGTATTGACGAATAGTTTCCGCAGATGCGGATCATTCAAGTTCATACCCAAGCAGACAAAAATTTCGAAAAACGCGTTTAAACGCACAATCGGGAACCGCGACTGTGATCCATTCACGCTCTTTAAAAAAACGCAAGAAACCACGTTTTTTGTGCAAAATAGTAAATTTTCAAGCATGAAAACGGCAAAAAATATAAAAAACTGAGCGTTTAAACACATCGGTTTTTAAATCTAGAAAAAGAGAACGTTTTAACACTAGAAATTTAAGTTTTCCACCGTTTTCACGCTTGAAAAGTGACTATTTTGTATAAAAAACGTCGTTTCTTGCGTTTTTTTAATGAACGTGAATGGATCACAGTCGCGGTTCCCGATTGTGCGTTTAAACGCGTTTTTCGAAACTTTTGTCTGCTTGGGTATAGGTGTTCAAGTCAATAACTCTTGACCGGCAAAAGTCGTTTCTTCGATATCTGACACATCTGATACTGCGCAAAAAGCATTGTGATTCGCAATCAGGCTGTCGAGGAAATCGTCTGTTTTCTCCCAGGACGTGTCATCAACCAGATCACTAGTATCTTTAGGGTGTGATTCATGATATCCCGTAGGCTTATTACCCGTTGGAACTAACCACTGCACGGATTAGTTTCTTCCGTATCCGTCGGTCTTGCACTAGGTGAAATAGATCTTATACACTGCGTCGACACCAGTCTTTGATGTCGTCCAGCGATTCTCTACATGGGCGTCCTCTTCGGGGTTTTTCATCTATCTTTGCGAATACTGTGTGTTTTATCAGCCTGCTATCGTCCATTCTACATATATGGCCGAACAGTCTTAATTTTCTTTTCTTGATTATGTCCATTATAGTTTATTCTTTCTCTATCCTTTTTCGCATATCCTAATTTCTCATCATGTCTTTCCAACTGATTCTTAGCAATCTTCGGTAGCATTTCATTTCGAATGCTAGTAGCTTTTTTTTATCGGTCTCCTTCAGGATCCATTTTTCTGAGGCATATAATAGTACGCTGAAGACACTTTGCTAGGATATTGAGTTTGTTCTGTATTGCTAGTTTCTTGCCATACCATATGTGTTTCAGGGACGCCAGTGCTCCAGTCGATTTCCCTATTCTTCTTCTGATTTCTTATGATCAGTTGTTGTCCGATATTATTAGACTTTCAAGGTACTCGAACTTATCCACGTTTTCTATAGTTTTTCCTGCTATTCGTATTGCTTGATCTATGCTTCTTTCACCGAACATCATTGTCTTTGTTTTGGCTGTGTTCACGACTAGTCCTCTTTCTTCTGCGGCTTTTCTGATTGTCTTGGTTTGTTTCTGTAGGAAGCTACAGTCTTTATCTACTAGGTCAATGTCATCCGCAAATTTCAGCTTGTTTACTCGTGTTACACTGATGTTGGTTCCACAATTACTTTGTTTCACATGATTCATCACTCGTTCGAGATACACGATGAACAGTAATGGTGACAGGGGATCTTCTTTTCGGATTCCAACATCTGTACGGAATCCCTCTTCATAGTTTTTCCCTATTCGTACTGCTGACTGCACTTTTTCGTATATCTTTTGTAGTAGAGTAACCATCTTCTATTCTATACCGTATGACCTTAGTACTACCCATATGAATTTATGTTTGATTGTGTCAAATGCTTTTTGGAAGTCTATGAAGCAGTTGTATATTTTTTTCCTTGTCTTTTCGCCTTTTCTGCTATTACTCTGAGTGTCAAAATTTTGTGTATTGTACTTCTGTCTTTCCTAAATTCTGCTTGTTCTTCCGAGAGGTGAGGCTCCAGTTGTTGCTTGAGTAGATTGAATAGCACGATAAAGCAGTATTTTTCCTGTGTAGTTAATGAGGAAGATCGTTCGGTAGTTCGCGCATTCGCTTAGATCTCCTTTCTTTGGTATCGGCACTAGGATAGATTTCCCCAATTCTTTTTGGATTGTACCTTCGTTGTATGCTTTGTTGCATAGTTTGTGGATTTGTCGCGCTAACTGTTCTGCTCCCACTTGTAGCATTTCCGCTGTGATTCCACCTGATCCTGGAATTTTGTTCTTTTTCAGTGTGCGTATTGCTTCTTCTGCTTCGAGGTACACGATGTCCTGTGGTTTTTCGGTGTTCGTAGGTGCGATGTGTTTGAGGTCATTCACCATATTATCGCCTCCTCCGTGGTCTTTGTATAGGTTGCTACAGTATTTCGTCCATCTCTATGTGATTTCTTCCTGAGACTGCAGTACTTTGCTGCCTTGGCCTCGTTTTACATTTATTCAAGGCGTGAATTTTATCCGTAGCACTTTTATTAGACTGTATGCTTGCCTAGTATTCCCAATCGTTAGACCCTTTTCGACTTCTTCGCACTGCTGCTGTATTCAGTGTTCTTTATCTTGACTTGCTGCTTTCTTAACTTGCTTGCAGATATCTTTGTACTGTTGTGCTTTTTGATTAGACGCGTCTTTTGATTGTTTCAGCTTTCGTTTTTCGTCTGCTAGTTTCAATGTTTCTTCGGATATCCAAGGTTTCTTGGTTGTTTTCCTAGCACATCTTGTTGATCGATGTGAAGCTAGCACAACGAATAGGTACCACGACGGATTTAGGTAAGCTTGAAATCTGTAACGCTGAGCGTTTTGGGGACAGAAGTTGAATGAGGATGCTTGACAATGTGTACACAAGCACCTACACCCAGATCCTGCCCCGAAAAGTCCAAGTATTCAGGATTTTAGGTTTACCTAAATTCGTCGTGGTAGCTACTCGTCGTGCTAGCTTCATATCAATGTCTTGTTGTATCTGGTGCTTCTGTAATCGCTCATTCTATTTTCTCCGTGTGCTCGTCTAGAGTATCTGCTGACTCGATTTTTTTCTATATTTTTTGCTAGTTTGTTACTGTAACAGTGCCTTCTTGTCTCGTGCTTTAGTTGGCTCACATCGGTTCTTACACTTGTGTGTACCTTGTTATACATCATTTTGAATTGCAGCCTTATATTACACAGTACTAGTGAATGGTCTAAGCAGATGTCGGCACTTTAGAATGCCCTAAATTTGATGACTGATGATTTCCATCTTTATTGGATGAGGATTAGGTCAATCATGTTTTTTGTGCACGCCATTTGGTGATACCCGCATCCACTTTCGTTGTGGTTTCTGTTGAAATTTCGTATTGCATATGTAGAAATTGTGTGTTGTTGTGAATTGTAGGAGACGCTCTCCTCTTTCATTCCTTTCACCATATATGTATCTTCCCATTATCTGTTTCCAGTCTGTATTATTGATACCAACTTTTGCATTCCAGTCGCCTGTTATGATGACTATATATTTTCTGTGTATTTTTATTAATACGTCCTCGAGAATACTGCAGAACGCTTCAATTCTCACAGCTGAGGATGCTGATGTTGGTGCGTGTGCATGTATTATTATGATTTTGAATGGTGCTGCGTTAAATCTAGTTGTGATGATTCGTGAGCTGATTGGATTATATCCTATGAGTGCCTTTCTGGCTTTCGTGCTTAGCAGCAATCCTAAGCCTCTTCTATGCGTATTGTCTTCGCCTGACCAGATGAAGTCTCCATTTGATGTTTCGTCTTTGCCTGCCCACCGTATTCCTGAAATACCAATTATATCGTACCTTAGCCTCTTCATCTCATTTCTTCGCAACTCTAGTTTTCCGGTTGCCCATAGCGTCTGAACGTTCCACGTTCCCACTGCCAGTCTGTCTTCGATATGTTTTAATTTATGCGTCTCTGTTGCCGTGTTGTTAGTGTTTGTGGTTTTTCCAGTAGCCAATGTTTCGACTCTGTCATGGTTACTCGGCAGAGGACGCGGACCTTGCTTACCCGGACGACGTTCGAGTCGGTATGATTTTCTACTATCTTCGCTCATGGTTGGTTTCTACTGTCTTTTTCATTTTGTGAACAGCGGCATCTGCACTCGTTTCTGTCCAACACTTCACTATTTAGCCCAAACTGGCGACCGGCACGAAATCCCAGGATGAGATGTCGTGGTTGGGTTCTCATATATATTGAATTTATATTCCGCATATTATCGGCTAGAAAGATCCCAGACAATTACGCATGAGTGACTTGTTCAAGGTCATTACATGACTGGTGATACTGAGGTTT